GGAGAGGAAAGGAGAAGGCGGCCGCGGGGGGGGAGAAAGGCGAGCACTCAGAGGCGAAGACTTCCGCCATGAGCCGCCGGAGCGGCCCGCGGGCGGCGGGGGCGGCGTCCAGGGGGCTGGCGCGTCAGCTGGGCAGTCCGCAACAGCAAGCGCGATGCGCCGAACAAGGAGAAACAGTGCAAGCGCCCAAGGATGACCCTGAGCGAAATGCCACAAAGGCGTACTTTAGTTGGGCCTGCGACTGTCCACTACGCCACGCTCGAAACTGTGGAAGCAAACGGTCCAAGTTCAGCGCAAGCCCACGTGAAGTGCGATGGCAGTCCCTGCGACTGTCCACTGCGCCGTGAGCTTCACCAACACTGGCCGATGCCCCGCGCGGCGCTGCCACGGCGCCTGGAGGGAGGGGGGGAGAAAGCGGGCGGGGAAGGGGAAAAGCAACACGGAGTCAAGGAGAGCCAACCCCGTCAAGAAGCGCGGGGGCCAGCGAGGCGACCGGAGGTGCCAGGCCCTGGGGCGGTCTGCTCCGCGGGGAGGTGGGCGTGACCAGGTAATGAAGGACGCCGAGCGGGGAGGGCACGGGCGGGCGCACGGGGGCGCCAGCGGCCACACTGCACAAGCGCAGGCGACAGGGAGGGCAAAATTAACAAGACCGACACAGGCGACTGGGGGCGCCTTGCCCAGGGGCGGCCGATCCACAAACGGTGGAGGGGGCCAGAAGGCAGGGGGCGCGGGGACAGGGGGGCAAAGGCTGGCGCGGGGGCGCGGGCGACCACACTGCGATGAGGCACAGACGGAAGGAGCAAGGCGAGCGGAGCGGGGGCGGGCAAGGGAGGGCGCATGGGGGCGCCGGCGGCCGCACTGCCCAGATGCGAGCGACACGGAGGGCAAAATTGCAAGACCGACAGAGGCGACCGGAGGTGCTGGGCCTGGGGGCGGGCGCTCCACAAAAGGTGGAGCGGGCCAAGCGGCTGAAGAGGCGGGGACAGGCGGGCAGAGGCGGGCAGAGGCGGGCGCGGGGGCGCCGGCGGCCGCACTGCGATTGGGCGCAGACGGCGGGGTAGAGGGCGAAGCCGAGGGAAGGCGCGGAAGGAGGGCCGCGCCACAGGGCACCGGAGTGGCGCAGCAAGCGGGCGAGCCAAGGGTAACGCACCGCCCCGACGGACAGCACGAGAGGGCGAGCAAGGAGCGGCGCACGGGTGGCGCGGGAAAGGGGGAGGCCACACGCCGCCCCGACGGACAGCACGCGGTGGCGAGCGGGTTGAAGCCACGCTGGCGGGGAGACCAGGGAAGCACCGGAATGGCGCAGCGAACAAGTGAACAGAGCCACGCGCCGCTCCGACGGACAGCACGCAGCGGCCGCTGACGCTGTAGGCGGTGGCGGCGGGGGCCAGAGAGGAGGCGGCTAAACCGACGCAGGGAAAAGGAGAGCCGAGCGCCGCCGCCAGGACAGCAGGTGGCAGCCAGCGGGAGCCGAAGGCAGCAACGCAACTGGGAGACCAGGAAAGCACCGGAATGGCGCAGCATGCGGGCGAAGAGGCGCAGCCCACCGCCCCGACGGACAGCGCGCGCAGGATGAAGAAGGACAGGGTGCGCCCGCGGCCAGGGGGTCAGCTGACCCGAGCAGCTGCGCAGCGCGAGCGGAGGTAGCCGCCAAGGATGGGCGCGTCAGGGGGGAGCACGGCACGAGCTCCCAGGGGCGCTACCCAGACATCACGCAGCAAGCGCTGCCAGCGGGCGCAACATGCCGGATTGCTGCGCCCGGAGCTGAAGGACCCCGTCGAGGAGGGTGCTGCGCGCCGCAACGTCTAGCCAAGCAGGCAGCGCCGACGGGCTGCAGGGGGCCAAGCTATGAGCGCCTAGGTCTGGCTGCCGGTGCATGGTCCCTGGCCGCGTCGGGCGGGCGCTTCCCTTTGCCTTTGTCCGGTGGCGGCGCGCCCTTGCCCTGCGGGCCCTCGCCAAAGCGGGTGGCCGGGTCGTAGCGCCGCGTGTCACGTTCGCGCTGCCTGCCCCATACATCGCCCCAGGTGATGCGGATGTCACGGCCCCAGCATAGGATTCCAATGTCGAAATGCCAACAGTGCATATCTTCCATGAAATTCGTCGCGCCCACGTGGGTTGCACTGCCCGCCGCCTCTGTCACGCCGATCGCGCTGGTCGCGGACCGCGTGCCAGCCTTCCACAAACAGGGCTCCGCAACCTGATTTGAGGCCATGGACATCCTCGCGCCAGGTCTCCACGTGAACGCGACGGCCGTGTGAACGCCGGAAGGTGATGCGTCGCCGCGGCTTTTTGTAGAGGGTGTCGGTAGGCCTCCCCGCCTCTTTCCAGCCCCGACTGGCGCGCTCCGCGGGCCAACCTGGGTCGGCGCGCAGGTCTGGGCGGCGGCGGGGGCCAGGCGCGCGCATGCACCCATCCTGCGGGCTGGAGGCGGCTTGGGTGCTGGCGGTGGCTGCGCCACCAGACTGGGCCGCTGCAGGCGCCGGGTTAGCTCGGGCCTCGGCGTTGGCTGTCGGTTGCGCTGTAGCCTGCGCTGCTGCAGCGGGGCCAGGGGCTGTGATGCTGCCGCCAGCACGGCTGGCCGTCGACGTCATCCCGAGAAAGCGCCCAGTGTCGGTGGCTTCCAGGAGCGCGGGAGTGACTACCCATGCCAAGTTAGCGGTGTCCAATCCATCCCAACTGGGCGCCCAGACCTGTCCTACTCTGATGCTGACGTACCTGGCGGGCCCATGCGGCAGCTAGACTCCTGGCAAAGTCGCCTCCTCGACTGGACCAACCAGGGCACCGCGGTCGGCATCTGGGCTGAATCGCACTCCCATGCCATCTGGCTCTGCGTGCCACTCCAGAGGCGGACAAAAGGGAGCCGTCTCGAGCCATGACGTAGTCCCCAGGGAGTGGAGCAGTGGCTTGGCCCATCGCCGCGCGGAGGATGGCGATCTGTTCGGTAGGCAGGATACCTCGCCTGGCAGAGACATCTTCCTCGTGGTGATCAGGGGGCCAGTCCGCACTGACCTCCGCTGGGGTTGCCGGCGCAGGACCGGTTGCTGGCGCAGCAAGGGCAGGCTGCGGGTTCCCAGAGTCGGTCGCGGGGCTGGCGGCGGGGCGCACGGGGGAGGCGCCGGCTGGCGCCTGGGTGTTTTGGGGCGGCATCGAAAGGGGCACCGGCGAGTGCCTGGTGGGCGCCCACGTGCTGCTTGCAGCGGGACCCGGTGGTGGCGCGGGCGAACGATCTGCCCAGCCTGGGGCTGAGCTGGCGGCCCCATGCTGCTGACTTCGGCTTCGGCTGATTGTCGCCACTCGGGCTGGCGGGGCGTAGTTGGCCAGCGGCGGGGGCGCCAGGGTCTAATTTTTCGGGGTCGCGAGGAAGGTGGCGAGCTCGGCCTCACTGTACCTCGCGGGGCCCTCTCCGCTGATGGAGATATCGGAGCCGAGGAACGTGCGCCAGCGCCCTTGCAGGTTATCTGGCCTCGGGAGGCCCCCTTTTGCTTTTATTGCGAAGAAAAATGTGCCACCACGCGTTGAATTGCGGCCCGGCGACCGCCCCAGGGAAACCCAGCAAGAACGCCGCCCTCCGGGACCTCGTCTCCGCAAAATGTCCTAAGGAACTGAAGGCACTCGACCTCTGACAAATGCCGCGAGAGACGTGGCACTGGTGCGCCCTCGGATCCGTCTGGGGTTTGCAGCTGATGCTTCTGGTCGGCCCAAGTGGCCCATGCCGTCTGGACACCGTCGCCCAGATTCAGGGCGAACTGCACCACTTCTCGCGCGATCGGGCGCTCCAAGTAACCGTCGGCAGAGGCCAGGCCGTCAAGGGTGCGCACCCTGAGCCGGGGGCAGTCTGGGACAAGCATGGGCGCCATGTCTTCAAGCACGTCTGAGAGCGCGCAGGCGGGCACGAGTGGGGGAACTACGTACCAGGGGTCGTTTGGCAGCTCGTTGGCGGGCCCGGTGGCGTCGCTATCCAGCAGCGGACACTCTGTGAAGGACTCTCCTCCGATTCTGTGGATGAACCCGAGGAACACGTTGGAGTTGAGCAGGCATGGCAGCTTCTGCACTCCGTCTGCAAGGGTAGGGTCAAACACCCGCCAAGATCCCTCTGCTCTGGCATCCTTTACGGTAACCCAGCTGACCAGGCGCGCGAGCATAAACTGGCGCACCAAGGTGGCCTAGGTCCAGTTGTCGCGATCCGTAGGCCTGCTGCCGTCTTCCCACGAGTTCCCGAGAAGCCGCGGAGGGTGGCAGCAGGGACGTCTCGGGGAGCCATGGACCCTTGCCTGAGGTTGCGGGTGCAGAAGCTGATCCAGTGCTGGTTACTGATCGTACCGTAGGAGCGCGTTTCCTTATGATCGGCGGTGACGGGCGTCATGGGGGGGGGAGGGGGGAATGACATAACGCCCCCCTCCCGCCGTGTGGCTCCGGCACCACAGCCGCGCCCGCGCGCACGACAACAATGAGCGACGAGCGACGAGCGACCGACGACGACGACGACGACGACGACGACGACGACGACGACGACGACGACGCGAGCATCAGGTAGGTGGCGATCTGCCCCGCAGCGCCTGTGTACACCACAGTGCTCGCGTGCACCACAGCGCGCGTGTACACCACAGCGCCTGCACTGCTTGCGTGCACCAGTGCCGGTGTACACCACAGCGAATCTGTACACCGCAGCAGCCATGTGCAACACAGCGCCTGTCTACACCACAATGTTTACGAACACCGCAGCGCCTGTGCATACCACAGTAAACCACTGCATCCGCGTGCAACGCAGCGCTGGTGTACACCAGAGCGCCTGCGTGCACAGGACACGTAGACGGAGCATGTCGATGAGAATCTGCTGCGGAAAGCTAAACGCCACGCCAGGGAAGTGCTGGTAATAGAATGTGAAGGTTTTCCCTCTCCCCTCCTCCACCTCCGCCTCCTCCTTTACCTCCTCCTCCTCCTCGTCCTCATTTTCCTCCTCCCCGTCATCCTCCTCGTCCTCGTCCTCCTCCTCCTCCTCC